AGGGGCAGGCGGCTCAGTGCGTCGGCGTGGCCCATCGCCTTTCCGGGCCGATGGACGAGGTCGTACGCATACCCCGCCAGGAAGATGGACCAGCGTAGCACCCTGGGCGAGGTTATCTGCGGTGTCTGCCGGTCGGGTGCGAGGAGGCCCAGCAGGGGCCGTACAAGTAGTGGTGAAATTTTTTCACCCCTGCCACGATTGCCAACGCCTCCTTGTCGATCTGCGCGTAGTTGCGCTCGGCCGACGACAGTGTCCGCGAGTAGTAGGCCACCGGGACCTCGCGACCATCCGGTAGTCTGTGCCCCAGGACCGCCCCGACCCCATAGGGGGAAGCGTCGCACGCCAGTACCACGGGAAGGGCCTCGTCAAAATGGGCGAGGACCGCATTAGAGACCAGGAGGTCCTTTATTGTTTGGAAAGCTGCGTCGTGTGGTGGCCCCCAGGCCCATTGCGCCGACTTGTCGAGGAGGCGGTGGAGCGGCTCCGCGACGGCCGCCTTCAGGGGCAAAAAGGAGTGGTAGAAGTTCACCAGGCCTAGGAACGCCTGTAGCTCCGTTTTGGACTTCGGGGCCGGGGCGTGTGTGATGGCTTCTACCTTGTCCTGGGAGGGGTGCAGGCCGGCGGCGTCCACCGCGAAGCCCAGAAACTCCACCCGCGGCACCCCCAGTAGGCACTTCTCCCGTTTCACCTTGAGGCCCGCCGCGTCGAAGCGTTGTAAAACGGCCCTCAGACGGTCTGCGAAGGACGAGGGGTCTGGCGCGGCGATCAGCACGTCGTCTAGAAACGGCTGAACTCCGGGGATGCCTTTAAGGAGGGAATCCATAAAAGATTGAAAGATCCCCGGCGCGACTGAGACCCCGAACTGGAGGCGGTGCACCTTGAAGGCCCCTTTGTGGGTCGCAATGGTCTGTGCCTCGGCCGTGGCGGCGTCCACCGGTAGCTGCTGGTACGCCTGGGCCAAGTCCAGTTTGCCGAACACCCGAGCCCCTGCCAGGGCTGCCAGCACTTGGCTTACTACCGGCACCGGGTACGCGTGGGGCTGCAGGGCTTTGTTTATGGTGCATTTATAGTCCGCGCAGATGCGGACGTCCCCGTTCGGCTTGAGTGGTGTGACAATGGGGGTCTCCCACCGGGCCGACGCCACCGGTTCTAGCACGCCTTGCTCAACTAGGCGATCGAGCTCGGCCTCCACCTTCGGCCTCATGGAGATCGGGGGCAGCCGGGCCCTGATGCGGATGGGGCGTATCGCGGGGTCTAGGTCCAGGGAAATGGCAGGGCCCGTGTACCGCCCCAGGGTCCCATCGAAGATGCGGGGAAATTCTGCGCACACCGCCCCGAAATCCTGCGCTCCAACCTGGTTGATGCCCGTAACGGAGAGCCCCAGGGCCTTGAACCAGGCCAGTCCCAACAAGCTGGAGAGGGGCCGGTCCACAACCAGTAGGTCCAGTTGGCCCTTGAAACCCTGAAACTGGACCCGGAACTTGCCCCAGCCCACCACCGCCACGGGGTTTTTGTTAAAGTCCCGTAACCGGAAACCCCGTGACTTCTGTAGTGGTGGCCCCCCCCGAGGACACAGTGCACGGAGCGTGTCCGCGGATATTATGGAGTAGGTCGACCCGGTGTCGATCTCCATGGTGCAGGGGGCTCCCTCTATGAGGACCGTCACATGCATTTTATTTGGGCCGTCGGGGGGCAGGTTACAGACCTGGTGCTGTGGAAAGTGGGACGACACGGTGTGGAGCTCCAGGGGCAGTTCCGCGGTGGTCTGGTGGGTGGCCGATCTCGGTCGTTGTCCCTTGGACCGGCAGACCTTGGCGATGTGTCCTGCCTTGTTGCAGGAACGGCAGACCGCATTCCGGAAACGGCACGACCTGCGTTCGTGATCCTCCCCGCAGCTGGCGCACTGACTTGGAGACGGGGCCTTGGAGGTCCTGGAGGATACGTGTTTTGATCGCTGCTGAGTCCGCTGTCGGAGTTGTAGGACTTCCTCTTGGTCCGAGACGTCGGAGCCGCTGCTCACTTGGGTACGGTGGACCGCCTTGGCGCGGCGGTCTTGTCGCGCTTGTTCGTATGCTGAGGCCTCCCGGATGGCCTTGTCCAGGCTCAGATCGTTCTGGCTCACCAGTTTCCTCTGCAGCTTCGGCTCCCGGAGTCCGACGAGGAACTGGTTCAGGAGGGTATCGTCGAGGCTGGGGAAGGAGCACCGGGTCGCCAGGCTCCGCAGCGCCGCCAGAAAATCGGAGGTGGTTTCGCCGGAGGCCTGAACTCTTGCGAAGAAGTCCAACCGCTCCACGTACTTCGTGGGTTTGGGAGCCAGATGGTCGGTCAGGGCCTGGACTAAGGAGCTGTATGACTCGTCCTTCGTTAGTTTGGGCGAGATTAAGTCCTTGAGGAGCCGATGGGTCTGGATTCCGCAGTGGCTCAGCAGGTAAGCCTTCTTCATCGCGTCGTCCACCACCTTGTGGATGGTGAAGCGGCTCTCCAGCGTGTCCAGCCAGGTGTCCCACAGCGAGGGCTGGGAGAGATCGAAAGCGGGCAGGCTTTCAGTTGCGGTCGCGGTCGCCATTGTGTTGCAGCCACGTGGTGGGGTGGCCTCTGGAACGGCGATGGCGTCGGGAGCGTTGTGGAGGTCGCTGCTGCTCTCGGGGTCAGCAGGGAACGAAGCGGAGCCAGGAGCTGCGCGGTGAGCGGTTGCCGGAGAGCTGGGATGCGACGCTGCGCGGTTCCCGGAGGTCTCGGCGTCGGTGCTCGGTGCGGGGCTCGGGTCTTTGTTCATGGGGTCGTCGATCCCATCCTCGTCGCCAGTGAAAAGTATGCAGACGGAGAGCGATTTCAGCTAAGCATACCTTTATTTAGTTCAGGACAAAGACGAAGGGACCAGCTCGCAGGCTGGTTATATATGTTCAGAAAACCCGCCACCAAGTACACCTAAACACACCCCCTACTCCCGATAGGCTATTTACAGTAACCGGGCGACCATTGGTCTCCCGGCTGAGAAGCTGGCCCTTTGATTGGGCCGGCTAGGATCCTACGGACCCATTGTCTTTGGACGTGAAGCTATTGAAGAGTTGTGCCTGGCCAGCCCGGGCAAGTCCGGGCATGTCAGGCTGAATACATTACACCTCCCTTTCATCCTCACAACGACCCCGTGAGGTAGGTTACGCTGAGTGTGCGTGACAGGGAAGTTTCCAGAGCGGAGTGGGGATTCAGACCTGGGGCTCCAACCGCTACCCCACACTCGCTCTCTCCACATATATAGGCTCAGCCTGCAAGAGTTACCTGGGAGGTGTGGGTGAAGCGGCTCTGGTCGTATTTCGCCTTCAAGTCCATGTAAAGATGCCAGATATAATTGACGGTATACAGGAAAGATGCAACGTAGAAGACCTGGGAAAGCGGAAAAAGGGGGATTCTTTTTTTACTGAACTCGCCATTTGCAGATCTTATACAAATAACCGTATTTAGCATTTATAGAGTGTTTTCAGGGGTCAAAACGGTCATTCTTACAAAAGCCCAACAGAAGGTTGCCCCATGACCAATAGCAGAGGTGGGATTCAACCCAGGGCCTCCTCAAGCGTCGCTTGCTAGAGGTGACATCAGGAGGTCTTCCACGGTTCTGGAGTCGGACTGGGGAAACTGGGAAGGAAATTCTTCTCAACTCTCCCCTCCTCCACCCTCTCTGATCTGGTCAGGAGGAGAGAGAGAGAGAGAGAGAGAGAGAGAGAGAGAGAGAGAGAGCGAGAGAGAGAGAGAGAGGATTTATACCATGCCCTTCACTACCCAAAGGAGTCTCAGAGCGGCTTACAAACTCCTTTCCCTTCCCCTCCCCTCAACAGACACCCTGGGAGGTCGGTGGGGCTGAGAGAGCTCCTGACAGAAACTGCTCTTTTTCAAGGACAGCTCTTATCAGAACTATGGCTTGCTCAAGGTCATCCAGCAGCTGCATGTGGAGGAGTGGGGAATCAAACCCGGTTCTCCCAGATTAGAGTCCGCGCACTTAACCACGACACCAAACTGGCTCTATGTAGTCCACATACATACTAACAAACCTGCTTTCATTTCCTTAAGGAGTAGAGGCTTGCTTTAAGAAGAAGACGAAGCTGATGCTTTTAGGATGCAGTAGTGAATTGCATGGAAAACTGCACTCTGCCATAAAGCTTGCTGGGGCCACAGTGGCTCAACTGGTTAAGATGCTGAACTGCAGACTGGAAGGTCTGTAGTTTGGCAGTTCGAGAACCGAGTGCCGCGTGAAGGAGTGAGCTTCCGTCTCTGGCCCCAGCTCCTGCCAAAATAGCAGTTTGAAAGCAAGAAATTGCAAGTAGATAAATAGGTACCACTTCGGTGGGAAGGTAACAGCGTTCCGTGCGCCTCGGCGTTTAGTCATGCAGGCCATCATGACCATGGAAACGTCTTCGGACAGCGCTGGCTCTTCAGCTTGGAAACAGAGATGAGCACCGCCCCCTAGAGTCGGATTCGACTGGCTTTCGAGCAAGGGCAACCTTTACCTTTACCTTTATAAAGCTCGCGGGGAGACCTTGGGCCAATTGCTCCCTCTCAGCCTAACCAACTTCAAAGGGTCGTTGTGAGAGTAAATCAGTGGCGGCGAGACTGGAGGGAAGGGGCGGACAAATATGTGCCACGAGAATGGCCGTCTGCAACCTGACATGCCCGGTTAGCCGTCTTCACAAGGAACGGGAGAAAAAAAAGTTGTACTTTTTACTATTTCAGAGAGAGCTTTGATTCTTGGAAGCTGACACCCTGGAACTTTGGTTGGTCTCTAAGCCGCCGCTGGGCCGGGCTGAGCGATGCATAAAGCTCTTCTATCCTAACTCTCAACTCGGATCGGTGGCCGTCCATCCCTGCATACCAGATGCTGGCATTCCACGGCCCTGGCTTCGGGCTGTTTTCTCTCCAACCGAATCACGATGATGAGCCGACGGCACTGGCACTGGTCCAGCAGGGCTGTCCTTTCTCCCCCTTGCTTCGTCTGTCCTTAATTATAACCGCTTTGCATTTTTTGCCTCCTTTGTGCTGGCCAAATGGAGTGGAATCCTGTCCCGGGCTTTCTAGGTCGCTAGGCTTGAAGCGAGGAGGGCACGACAGGTGAATTGTGAAAGAGCCACACGGGGCTCTTGCTGGGCTGAGTGTGGAATTTGCACTCAGATGGGGTCGGGAAGAGGGGGTGTTGTTGGAGTGTGACCACCGTGGCCAACAGAAGAGGGGTGAGATGTTGCTGAGAGCTGTGTCTCAGTCTTTGGGGATCAAGAACCCTTCTAGAAGGAGGAGGAGGAGAAGGAGGAAGAGGAGGAGGAGGAGGAGGAGGTTGTAGGGTAGGTGGGGCTGGGAGAGCTCTTTCGAGAACTGCCCTTGAGAGAACAGCTCTGAAAGAACTTATGACTGACCCAACGTCACACCAGCAGCTGCATGTGGAGGAGGAGTGGGGAATCAAACCCGGTTCTCCCAGATTAGAGTCCGCGCTCCTGACCACTATACCAAGCCGGCGAGCCAACAGTTTGCTAGCACAATTGGTAATCATGATGGCCAACCTCCCCAGTTGTGGAAGAAATATGCCAGACGTCCGATCCTGGGGATCCAATCAGCCAACTCTGGGTTAGGAAATTCCCGTGGATTTTGGGGGTGGAGCCTGGGGAGGGTGGGGCTTCAAGAAGGGAGGGACCGGGGCTGAGTATAATGCCATAGAGCCCCCTCTCCAAAGCAGCCGTTGCCTCCAGAAGAACTGATCTCTGCCACCTGGAGATCAACTGCAACCAGGGGTCATTTCCTGCCGGAGCGCACAGGAGCGGAGCTCCGGCAGTAAAGAGCCCAGGGGGCGGGCACATGCAACAAGCCCCACCCCCTGCTCCCAGCAGCCCTCAGTCAGAGCAAGAAGCAGCCAGGTAAGCTGCAGAGCTCACCCCCCCAACCCCCCAGTACAAAACAGTCCAGTGGCACCTTTAAGACCAAGTTTTATTCAGGTACAAGCTCTCCCTCCTCTGAGAGGACAGATCTGCATGTCCCCCCCCCAATAGCTAGCAATCCAAAACATGCCTTTCTTTCCCTTCCCCAGTTTCCCTTCCCTGAGTTTCTCCGCAAAAGCGGAGAGGCTCAGGGAAATAAGGAGACACGTCTGCCTGCCTGCCCTTCCCTTCCCCAGCCAACCCAACGCCTGGGCTTGTTACTCCTGGAATGCCGCTCCGGAATGCCTGTATGGCAGCCATAGCTAACAGTGGTTCCTTCCCCAAAAGGCTCTCTTGGCCAAAGAGAGAGCTCCTTGCACTGGAGGAAAGCAGCACCCCTTCACAGGGACACGTCTGCGAACTCCGACCCCAGGCTGTCAAGGACAGCACTGAGGTATGAATGAGGAAATCCTCGGTTTGATCCTAACCTCCGCCACAAACTCACTCGCTGCCCTTGGGGGTGTCACTCTCTGCTAGCTTGCCCTCCCCATCAGCAATACATGGATGGTACTAATTATAGTTATTTATTGGAAACCGTTATATGAAAGAGCTAATGGAATTATGTCTTGCGGCTGCTAGGAATGTTATAGCATTTCATTGGAAATCTAAGAAGACGTTGCTACTGAGCGATTGGCATCTGAAATTGTGGGACTTTTTTCCACAAGACAAATTTTCCACTAGTATACTTCGATCTGAAAATCAACCTGTCCCTGACAATCTCCAAGAAAAATGGATGCCCCTCTTAGAAGTGTCAGCAGCACTTCCCTGTTTGCTCTGCATAAACATCAGGATTTGCTTTCCTATTTTTAACTGTTCTTTTAAATTTAATTTAAAAAAATTACTGGAAACCGTTATGAGCTGCCTTTCTTCCTTACGGAGCTCAAGGTGGCTGACGATGTAGAAAAAGCACGCAGAATAAAATAAACTAAAAACATAAAAAACAAAGTTTAAAATCCAGCAATGCAGGACTGTTAGCAGACTTAACCAAATGCCGTCCAGTGCTCCCTCTAAGCTGTGGAGTCTTGTGAGCAAAAAATCCACTTTGTGAGGCTCCTGGCATTAAAGTTGCAAGCGAGCAATTTGGCTACTGTATAAATTACTTTGCTCTGGAGCCCTCCTTCCTGAACAAAGACAAAAGTGTGAGCCGGAGGATAAAAAACCGTGAGCTAGCTCACACTAACTCATCTTAGAGGGAACACTGGTCTGAACTTGAGCAAAAGCAGTCCCGCATGTATTCCTGAAAGCTTTTTTTATCTGGCCTTTCCATTTTACCCCACATCCCACATTTCCCAGATGGCTCTGCACCCCTCTCACCCGTAGCCGTGCTCACGCCAACGGGGCTTACAGAAGCCTGACAGAACCAGCAGACTAATTGATGCAGCAGCCAAATCGCCTGCTCACAACTTTAAGGCCAGGAGCTCACAAAGTAGACTTTTTGCTCACAGGACTCCACAGCTTAGAGGGAGCACTGGATGTAGCTACTAGGATTTTATTTTGATTTTTTTTTTTGGAGGCCTTTGTGGAGGCCAGCAAAGATTTTCCAAAGCATAAACCACTTCAGAAGAACTCAAACAATACGTTAATGGCAGAACCAAGCTAAGAGGGGGGAAAGCCAGATTTCGTTCCGAGACAGACTTTGCTGAGATGGAAAAGATGAAATCATAGGTCAGATTTCCTGGCACAACTGGTGATACATGGGCTGCAGTCAGGAACCAGCTGCTCACAGACGGAATTCTGTCCCGTTTTCTTTTTCCACGTCGAAACCAAAACAATTTGCGTTCTTTCGCCAAAAAAACATCTCCTGCTTTTAATTACTTTCTGGCTCATCTTGCAAAAACGTTTGCTTCTTCATTTACAGCGCCCTCACTTCCCACTGCCTTCACTCGCCCTCGATGTCCTCCGACTCCAACAAGTTGTGTGGCACCAGTGGTTTGTTACAGGATCCCTGGCTGGTGTGGCTCACGCATGGGACAAAGCCAGGAAATAACGCAGCACACAGTGGGAACCACAGCCCCAAACAGGAATTCCTTTTTTAAAAAAAACTACCACTGCTCTCCCCTGCAACCAAAAGTCCTACTTTCGGCTGAAAATCAACACTGGGGAATATTCAGTGCCGTCCAATGTTTTAAAGAAAATTAATCCGATAGAAAATGAATGAGGTGGATGAGATAGAGCTACAAATTTTTTTACAAGACCTGATGGCTGAGCTCTTGTTAAAATGCTGACCCTGGGACCCGAGGAGGGCCGGATTAACCATTAAGCAGACTAAGGCACGTGCTTAGGGCACCAGGGCCAAAGGGGGCACCACAAAGTTGGGGAAAGGGGGCATAACAGAGAGGTCTTTCTCACGACTGAAACGTGTAAAAAACCCAAATAGATCAGTTAGGCTTCAAGACAGACTCAACTCACTGTGTATATTAACAATTGAAG